ATTATTGTGTGGGGGGGGGGGGGGGGGGGGGGGGTATGAGCCATTAACATTCCAGCTGAGCAGTATGTTGTGTGTAGGTATAAAGTGCTTTTTTCCAATGTTGCTGGGAGGTTTCAGGGTGGAATTCACTGATAACCAGGAGGTCAGAGGCAAAAAAATTCTGGGAATGTGGTTCTTGATCTAACGTGGGAGAAAATCAGCCTAGGTCTTGCTGCTGAGCACTTGCGCCTGCAGGTTGGAGTTATGGGATCTTTTAAAATAAAAATCATGATGTTAACTGCTCATCTGGCACCTACCTCGCATAAAGAATGTCCATAAGGTGTTGGTGATCAATCTTGGAGAGCACAATGGAGAAGCTGACAGCTCTGACTTTTGTTTTCTGTGCTCTGTTGGAGGCAGATCATTTACTGCTGGCAAAATAACTCATTTGTTTTCTTTTGTTCTCTCTTTGCATTTTATTTTACTCTGATCACTTTTATCTTATGGAAGGTGGAATTTAAAGATCAAGTCATTATTGAATTTAAACATGGGTTTACAGTGTATGGGGTGGTGGTTGATTAGATTCCACCTAGTATATCTCTCACTTGATTTTTCAAAGATGGCAGTGCCCACAGCTTCAGGTTGCCCTGAGTATGTGATGGGGCAGAGGGCAGGGAACCTTTGGGTACTAGAGGCATAATTTAAAAAAGGAGAAATCATTTCCTCTATAATTTTGTCCTTCTTTTTATTAACTGGAGTGCTCAGAAACTATGGTCTGCCAGAGAACAAATCACTTGCTGAGTCTAGGAAAAGCTGGATTGTAAATACTGTATGAGTGCCTTTCCACACACTCAACATAACCTGCAGCAGTTTTAAAACATGATTGTGGTCAGCAGGTTTCTAGCATGTTTACTCTGGCTACTGTTGATGGGGAGTTTAGTGTTTTGGCCTCAAAACTGTTACTGTAAGTTGTTTGGGCTAGGAAGAAGGGTTTTTTGTTCCATGTTTATATGGTACTTGGTGTGATGGTTTATGCGATCTTAGTTTATGACTGGTACAAGACAAAAAAAAGTAATTAACTTATAGGATAGTGCTAGTCTTTCTTTAGGAGTCAGGTTACAACATAGTTCATGCTGCTCTGGGAAACTGAGCAAAAGTCCACCTATATGCTGTGGTGGTTGTTGAGCTTGCATCTCATCTTACTGTGCATCTTTAGGGCTCATATGAGCACTTCTTATCCACAGTAGCTCTGTGTATGTGTCTGTGTAGGCACACATGCACGCAAACCCAATCAAAAAAGAATGTACAAAAATATGTGCAGTCCAGTGGCATCTAATTTCTAGGTAATCACAGGGCAATCACACCATTTAACTGCAAAACACTACATCTGCTTTTTCAAACAACTTTGGGTACCTCTGAAACCTTTAATTTAAGTCAAGAATATGTATGTGTTTCACTAGTAAAATGTGCTCATGTGTGGCAGGGAGCAGCCTGTAGCTGTTATTGTTAGGGGCCTGAGAACTTACATGGTTTCAAATAGCCTTCTTATATTTTGTTATGAAGAATATCCAGAATCACTTGTTTAATGCAAAGCAGTTTTAACACAACATGAATACATTTCTCTGGAAGCTATTTTATATTTTCTGGTAGATGCTTGTAAATCTTATTTAACTTGTTGTGATGCTTTCTTTGCGTGCAGCTTGGCACATCATCAGGCATATTCCAGTTTTTCTCATGAATAGTCAAAGCACCGTCAGAGATCAGGTATATCTTGCATGCTAACGGGGCTGCACAGCATCTTAAAGAATGAACAGAAAAGAATTTTGCAAGGTGCTTGGTGTCTCTACTGGGAGCTGATGTTTCCACAAATGACTAAGGAAGATTTGCATTGTGTAGGACTGATCCTTAGAGGAAGCTCAACATGTAAAAGCTCCTACTGGTGCACCTTGCTTAAGTGGGTCTGTCTCTGAGTGATGCTTTCAAAAGCACACAGAAATCAGCATGCCCCTCCAGATTCAAGTTAACTCACAGTCCCCCAGAATCCTAGGTTGCTCTGTAGCCGCCCCCCTCCCCCAACACACACGCACCTTGCAAAGTGGGTGGGCTAGCCTTGGCCCAAACTGTCTGCTCTAGCTGAGCAGGGAGCTGTGCTCTTGCACCCCCCAGCTTCTGGCCTGGGCCACTGCAGGTGTGTGGCTGCATTTCCAGAATCAAAAGCGAATGTCTGCTCACTTGCTTATTGGTTCAGTCTACGCAGTTTAGACTGATTTATGAAGATTGAATTGATTCAGCCTTGGGTTTTTTGACTGTCTGTACTTAGCCCAGGAGGTTTGGTTTTTCTCTCAGTCATGCTTAGTATGAGCCACTGTGGGTTGTGGCTTTGTACCAGTTTCAAAATAATTAAAATTTAGTAAAATGTATCTTACAAAGAATGTTAAGAGTACTGTTTTGCTCAGGTTGTCCACTTGCTTAAGCAACAGAATTAACCTAAAACACTTCACGCCTGCTGTTACCAAAATTGTAAACGGACATAAGGTTCTGCAGGTTAACGCACACAAATGAAAGTACAGCAAATGGTTAAATGTGATGAGAACAGCTAAAAGATTTTGCCCACTCTTTCATTTTTATTGTGTAAAATTTGCAAATATATTGCTTCAAAGCATGTTCCAAAACTAAAAGCAGATGTTACTGCTGTGCAGAACCCACCCACAGAGCTCTCTGGCAAGCTATCTTATGCACCAGGTCATCCTATCTCATGTTGCTGTTTTATTGTAATGCTAAACGGGCCATAACACTATCCAGGTTGAATACAGCCACTTTATGTGAGATTGCATTTTACTGCCCTATTACTATTTATGCCTAGCTTCACTTACTTCTGGAGTAGCAAGTTAGATCACATTAGCAGGAATTTCTGGCTATACCTGTCTGTCTGTGTCTGTGCTTCAGGTTTGACATCTTGCTGTACTCATCTTGTTCTCCTTGTTAATACATCGAATTCCAGCTGTGACCCCTTTTAGAGAACTGTGTGATTAACTGATTTTTGCATCACTAAATAGTTCCAAAAATAGCAGGAGAAGGGGAATGAACTTTACCCAAACTGAATTTTTTTTATTTTGACTGAAGTTTTAAAAGATTTTAATAAAAGATTGAGGGGAATTTATAAGCAAAAAAAAATATGCTGTTTTGAAACATTGAAATGAGAAAATGTTTAAATAAGAATTTTAGCTTTTTCAGAATCTTTTTTCTTTTCCCCTTGAGATAAACAATTCCATTACATTGATATGAATTTAATACCCAGATCAGTTTTCCTGAACCTCCTGTTTTAATAGAAATTTGGGCCAGAAATTTTCAGTCAGCCGTAGCCCAGAGCATTATTTTTTGGTTCTTTCCACAGGGTGAGGGGAGAGAGAGAGAAGAAAAAAAAAAAAAAAAAAGGCTTGTTGTAGAATGGTATTACTGAAGTTAAAGCACAGGAGGGTTAATCAGTTTTTCTGTTTTCTCTTTAAAGATTCATCTTCCAACTATATCAGGCAACTTGAAACAAAAGTCAAACTGCTGGAGGATGACAATAAACTCCTTTCTCAGGTAGGTTTTCTAATAGTGTGATTGATGTCAATATTTGGTGTGACTTGATCCTGCCATTAGTTCCATGCAGACTGACAGACCTTAGTGTTTCACCGGGGTCAGTGAGGCCCTGTAGGAGTTCATCTGTCTACTTGCATTTATTCAGTTGCGATCAGACTCGTAGGAACATAGGGCTGGGTGGGACTTCAGAAGGTCATTCAGTTCACCCCCCTGTTAAAGGTAGGATCATCCTTGTCTAAGTCACCCTAGTCAAGAGCCTGTCTAACCTTTTTTTTTTTTTTTTTTTTTAAATGTTCAGAGATGGAGACTCCACAACTTCTCTGAATAGCCTATTCCAGTGGTTAACCCCCCTCACAGTGAGAAACTTCTTCCAAATATCTAATCTAAATATCTAACTTTGTTACAGGTTTAAAAGCTTTGCTTCTTGTTCTGTCCCATATGGCCACAAAGAATAATCTATCATCATCCTCTTCTAATACTTGAAGGATGGTTATAAAGACAGTTATCAAATCCTGCCTGTCTTCTCTTCTCTTCTCCAGATCAAATAATCTCAGTTCTTTCAGCCTTTCCTTGTTAATCATGTTTCCCAGACTTGTTTCCCAAAGGTTTTGGCTTTGCTTTACAAACAGTCCCCATGAAAGATGCTGTCTCGAAGTTGTATGTGAAAATAATAAACTGCTAAAACCTGTATCCCTAATAATAAACTGCATGAGAGGAAGGAGTGGGGAGAGAGTGTAAACCGAGAAGGTGTATGCACGTGAGAGAGGATGTTGCTGAGCTTTGGAGAAGTCTGTCGCAGCTATGTTAAGATGTGTGGAGGAACACAGAGGGGCCACACGTGTCTACTGAGAATGCCGGTGTATCCATGAGCTTTGTTACAGGGTGCTGTCTTGGCTGCCGATCTGTGCTTGACTGTGTAGGATTGGATTAGAAGCTGATAGTAAAAGGACACCACTGGGCCTCACTCCTTGTAACTTCTAGTTATGATACCTGGGTTTAAAATTAAACCGCCCCCATCAAAGCTAAGAACGTTGTGCTTGCATCTATCCTTCCAGGCCCGCCCTGCCTGCCACTGCGCTGCTTTTGTTCTTTATTACTTCTCTGCTGCTCTGGCATGAAAATGCAAATGAGAGATCAGTAGGGAAGACCACACTTACCTAACTGGCATTTCCACAGACTCCAGCATAGAGCCCTGGGGACCAAATCCTCTGGTGAAATAAACCAGAGCAGATTAATTGAAGTCAGCTATATGATACAGTTATATTATACCTATTTACATCAGCTTCCAGTTTAAGTTTGTATCTCCAGTCCTCTTGGCTTCTCCCTTTATCCATGTGCTTTCTTATTAAATGGTGGTTTTTTTAGGTTTCTTAATTTCTAAACCTAATTTCTGTAATGTTCATTTTTTGTGACTCTCTCTAAAAAAACAAACAAAAAAACCCAGGTCAATTTCTGCCCCATTTAAAGAGTCAGAGTAAATATTTAGGACCGGTTCCCTGCATTAATAATGTCACTTTAGAGTTATTGAAACAAAGGATTTTTTTTTTCTTTCTTAAAACAAAAAACCCAGACTTCTTCCATTTCGCATTGTTCTGCTGGCTGCTTCCATTTCACTGAGAGTGAGCCATGAAAACATCCCTGGACCAGTTTAGTATTACTTTTGGTTTTGCTTTTGGGTTGAGAGAGATGCTGAAATG